GGGGTGGAAGGGGGGGGGGCGCATCAAGGTTGCGGCAGGTGAGGAGTCGGGAGTTGCTCGGGGGCTTGACGGCGGCGAGAGTCCCATCAACCGTGCGCCCGCGAGCCTCGTCGCCACGGCGCATGCTGCCCGCAGCCGGGACAGCAGGCGCGGTTTCAACCCAGGACAACGCGGGACGGGGCAGCGCGCTCGGCGCAGCGCACCTGCCCGTACTTCTCGCGCACAAAGGCCAGTGGCTGGTACGCCGCGACGAGCTCCGCGCTCGACGCGCATTGGTGCAGGTGCAGCAGCTGCGCGGCGCAGGCGCCCAGGTCGCCGGGCGCGTAGCCTGCGGGAGCACAGGGGCGGGCAGAAGGGGACGGCGGCCGGTCAGCGGGGCGAGGGCGAGGGCGGTGGCGTTGAGTGGAGGATAGAGCGGCGGCAAAGAGGTCGGCGTGGCTTCTTAAGCAGGCAGGCGGTCGAGGGAGGCGAGGGCGAGCGCGGAGGCATGCGCGGAGGGCCGCGGGCGCGCGCACCTGTGACCTCCTGCAGCGCGCCCGCCCCCGCGCCGCCCGCGCCGCCGTGCCACGCCGCGCCGACCGCGAGTGCGGCGGCGGCGACGAGGCTGGGGGGGTGCTCGAGCATTGCGTAGTCAAGCAGGGCCAGCTCAGATAGGTAGGCGGACAGCGCGATGGCGCGCGGCGGCAGGCGGCCGGCAAGGGCCTGCGCGCGCGAGGAGGGGGTCCAGAGGAGAGGTCGGTACACAGGACCACCCGACAATGGGAGAGCCGAGCAGCAAGTGGAGGGGCGCGGCCGGGCAGCCCAGGGGTAGTGAGCAGCCGGGCGCCGCCACGGCGCCGGGGCGCGACGCGGCGCAGCGGGCATGGGCGCGGCGAGAGGGGCGCGCGCCTGCGTGAAGAGGTGCAGGAAGGAGTAGGTGGTGGGCAGCTGCACGCGCCAGTCGATCTGATCGAGGAGGAGTCGCTCCATCCGAAGCAGGTCGTCCCGCTGTGAAAGGGAAAGGAATGGTGGAGGGCGGTTGGAGGCAGTTGAGGAGGTGTAGTAGTTCGAGGGCTTGCGGACGGCGGTCGGAGGGCGGCGCCGGTGGTTTAAGGGCGGGTTGGGGTGGTTGGGCGCGAGGTTGGGGGACAGTGCGACGGGAAGGCTGTGCGCGGGCTCAGGGGCCCGAACAAACGGCGTCATTGCTTTTGAGAGAGCGGGCCACATGTGTCTGAGCAGTCCCTGAGGGTTGGGGGCAGGCACGAACCAGGATGCGCGCGCGCAGCACCCATCTGTGTGTGTGTTTCTGTGTGCATGTGTGTGTTGATGCGGGTACATGTGAACATGCGCGCGCACCTGGAACGCTTCCGCCGCGATCTCTGTAAACTCGTCCACCGTCGGGTGCGACACCTGGGGTGTGGATGCAAGTCGAGGGGTTGCTGGGTGGGTTGGAGGATTCAGGGGGTTTTGGGAGACAGAGAACGGGGTTAGAAGCCAAACCGCCAGCGCGGCTGACGCCACGCGACAGGGGTGGTGGGCGAGGGCGCCGGCAGGCAGGGCGGGGAAGGGGCGGCGCAG